CCCATGTTTAGTCTGTGTTATCAAAGTATAGAATTTGAATTTACTCGTACGCAGGCTACTCACTTGTTATGGATATTTGCTTCTCCTGGTCGAAGATCATTCTCAACGTAGCCCATCTGTCGAATCTCCTTTCCCGAACTGGCCATGAAGTTCGCAAATGGTTTTTCAGCACCCCACCCTTCCAATTGAGCCACAGATGAAGATCGCCCTCTGTTGTTGGAAAGTGGTGAATTACAAGGGTTCAATTGGTTCTGTTATAGGGAAGGAGAGAGAGAAAAAGATGAAAACAATTGTTTTGGTTAATATTCATAGAATGTTATGATATATTCTCATCTGCAGTTGTCATACATTCGCACAATTCGTTAAGAAGTCTGAGAAGAATATCAACGTAATCGTAGCAATCATTCTCCAATTATTCAAATGTGGCATTAGTTATACGCTCAAGTCTTGAGTTATTTTTAGCTCCGGATACTCAGACAGCGTGTACTCAGACAGCAAGAGGTGCTTTTAAGTTTTCCACTATATTTATATACATATATATATATATATCATAACACATGAGATTGCGCTGTCCAACTGACAGATTGAGAGATTGCATCTAACCATACATCTTTTAATACCCTTGTTGTAATTTCATCAGGTGTTATTCTGTGACGTAAATTGAGTGATTACAGTGTATATATATATATATAACTTCTCAGATTCGGTTGACAGAGTTGGTGATGCCTATTTTCACACATTTACGGTTTCCCTGCAGCTTCAATTAAAAACTGATGAGAATTTTCTATTTTTAGTTTTATACAAGCGATTATGAAAGAAGGTCATGAGGTCAGAGTCAGCTGATTTTTCATTCATTCGATGTTGTTTGAACCATATTTTGATGACTCACTAGTACTTTCAAAAGATACAAGAAATAAAAGGACTTGCAGTATTATATTAGTTCGATAAGGTAGTTAGGGTGACAAAATCATAGACACTGTCAGTTTAATAAGGTAGGGTGACCCAACAATGGACACTGTTAGATTAATAAGGCGGGATGACTCAACAATGCAACATGTCAGTTTAATAAGGTGGGATGGCCAAATAAAAAGAACTTTCAGTTTAATGAGGTAGAGAGAACACATAATGGACACTGTCAGTTTGATAAGGTAAGGGAAACAATTAATAGACACTGTCAGTTTGATAAGGTAAGGGAAACAAATAATAGACACTGTCAGTTTGATAAGGTAAGGGAAACAAATAATAGACACTGTCAGTTTAACAAGGTAGAATAACCGAATAATTGACACTGACAATTTAATAAAGTAAGGTGACCAAATAAATTGACACTGTTAGATTATTAAGGTAGGGAGACCAAATAATAGACACTGTCAGTTTAATAAGGTAAGGTGAGCCAATTAACAGTGGACACTGTTAGGTTAATAAGGTAGGATAGACCAATAATTGACACTGTCAGACTGACGGGTTAATTTTATAACATGGATTAACCATCCAACATGAGAGACTGATAAGAAATGTCAATTGTCACCTTTTTGCCATCCTCTCCACTGACTGGCCAGTCAAAATTGATGGTATCCTGCATCTACAGATAAAACATAGTTATGAAAACCACTGAATTCTACAGGACTGAAAACAATAGGATGCCCACAAAAAGAAGAGATGCTGAATTGTTCGAGTTACGGACATCGAGTTACAAAAATGACCATGCCCATATTTTTGAAACCATGCCTGCTGTTGTGAAACCACGCATAAATTGTACCGGTAACTCGATGTTCAATTAACAGTTAACAGAACTTTGAGTTACAGGCAACCTACATTTTGGTTTTTATTGAACATCCACATTCAGTAACTCAAACTTTAAATAACAGTTAACCAAACTTTGAGTTACGGGCAACATACTAATATTTTTATTTTTGTTTAAGGTTCAAATTTAGTAACTCAATATTTAATTATCAG